TTCATGGACAAAAGAATTTCTGTGGCTGCAATATGACGAGCTAAATAACCAGGGCTGCACATAAGTGGTCCGCAGGTGCACATTCGCTGTCAAAATAAAAAACGCACACAAGATAAGAAGTTGCAACATGTGTTTGCATACATAAGATTTTCAGGAGGAGGACAGACATTTGTTTAGAACTCTTAAAGATATCGAAGAAGCTCCTTTAAGCAATTACTGTGATATTCCTCCACCTCCAAAGAAATGTCAGGAGTCCAAACCACAAAAGAAGCACGTATTCTCAGAAAAGTAGTTGCAGGAGGTGAGCTGGCTTCAAACAAATGATGAACGCACAGAGATGTGGTGCGGAATGTGCCGTGAAAATTTAATAAATGACAAAATCAAAAAGGCATGAACATTTTTTTTTTTTTTTTTTTTTTTTTTTTTGTGTATCGAAAACATATCGAACTGTGACACCAAAGTAGCGAACCAAACCGTGAATTTTGTGTATCGGTGCAACGATACACAAAATTCACGGTTTGGTTCGGTCACGGTTCGATATTTTTTTCGATACATGCCTTTTTAATTTGTCATTTATCAAAATTAGAAATATATATTTTAACTCAAAAGTACAGTTTTTAAATTTAATGTTGCTGAAACAAAAAAGTAATAAAAAAAAAATATATAAATATATATATATCTGATTGAGGAATCACTCATCTGTGGAAAAGAGTTTATTACAGAGAAATGTCTCTTTCCAAAATAAAAGCTATACTATCCGCTTCTTCTGGGCTATATTCTCAGCAGCATATTAAACATAACAGGTCCCCATAAGGAGAATCCTGTGCTAACGGCTGTCTAAATGACTCGGGTAAAGTTTGTAGCATGCGTGCTTGTTGTTTTGCGTCTGCTTCCACTTGTCTTTGCACTTGGATGATGTCGACGTAAATGTGCAGTCATATTCGTTGTGTTCCCACTAGTGCTGTCAGCGTTAATCTGAAATGACGTTAATGCCACAACACGGCAAATCTCCGTTAACGAGCTACCGCGGATCGCCCCGTGTGTGGGGCTGGACGGCCAACACCATAACGAGCAAACTACGCTAACGCACTAGTTCCCACCCATGTAATTGAGCATTGCGTGGCACATCCGACACTGTTTCACTTTTGTCCATGACGCGCTTACCTTCAGGGTCATACGTCACATGAAAACCAAAATCCAAACGCCAGATCTGAATGAGGGTTGGGGAGGTTCAATTTGCCATGTTGCAACGGGAGCTTAGCTTCTGTCTCGCTAGCTTGCCCTGCGCTCAGTGAATCTGCACTCGACTGCTCCGCCTAGGCTGCACTGTCGAGCGCAGATCCACTGAGCGCTCAACACAGACAGCATCGTCAGAAGGAAAGTTGATCAAATAAATTACAAATGTTGTATTGTTCGATACATATGCGTACCGAACCGAAAGCACTGTACCGAACAGTTCAATATCGATACGAATATCGCTGCACCCCTAATATATATGTCTATACCATGTGTTTTGGGGGGGGCTGTGTGTGTGTGTGTGTGTGTGTGTGTGTGTGTGTGTGTGTGTGTGTGTGTGTGTGTGTTTTGTTTTTATGGACATGAAGTCTGCCAATAAAGATTGAATTTGATGATGCTGCCTAAGGGAAGCATGTATAATGTAAACAGAATTGGTCCTAGCACTGAACCCTGTGGGACTCCATGATTAACCTCATTGTGTGAAGAGGACTCTCCATTTACATGCACAAATTGGAGTCTATTACATAGATATGATTCAAATCTAAAGCATGATGTAATCACTGTAATAGGATATTATGGTCGACAGTATCAAACATGCTTCACTGAGGTCAAGCAGTGTTTGACAACTACTCTACTCAACTTGAATTTTTGAGATGAAAGGAAGGTTGGAGATTGGCCTATAATTAGGTAAGACAGGTGGGTCAAGAGATGGCTTTTTAAGTAACTGTTTAACTACAGCCAGTTTGAAGGCCTGTGGTACATAGCAAGGAATGGGTTCTAAAAGTCACATGGATGGTTCGGAAGTAATTACTGAAGTTAACTTAGAAGAGTCAATGGGAGAGAAAGACTTTAAATAAATATCAATGGTACTAAAAGCATCTGTAGAAAATGTTATGCCTGTGAGACAGTAATGAGTAATTTTTTCTCCAATGATTAAAATTTTATTTATGAAGAAATTCATGAAATCGTTACTTAACGTTAATGGAATGGTTGGCTCAACAGAGCTCTGACTTTTTGTTACCCTGGCTACAGAGCTGAAGAGAAACCTGGGGTTGTTCTTATTTTCTTCAATCAGTGATAAATAGTTGATTGGCTAAATGATCTTCTAGATTTGTGACACGCTATTTCCTCTCCAGCTTACGAGTTATCTGCTTTAGGCTACGTGTTTGAGAATTATACCATGGAGTCAGGTACTTCGGATTTGAGACTCTCTTTTTCACAAGAGCTACAGTATCCACAGTCATAATTATTAAAATTATTAAAAAGATAATCGACCTGTGTTAAGTAGTGTTTAGGTAGCTGCTCTGCTCTGTGTTGGTACAGGGCATTGAAAATGATAACAGCGGATGAATTATATTCTTAAACTTAGTTACAGCACTTTCAGAAAGGCATCTATTGTGATGAAATCTACTCCCTACTGCTGTGTAATCAATTATTGTAAGTTTAAATGTTATCAGGAAATGATCAAACTAGAGACGGATTTCAGGAAACACTGTTAAATGTTCAGTTTCTATGCCATATGTTAAAACAAGATCTAGAGAGTGATTAAAGTGGTGGGTGGGTTCTTTTACATTTTTAGAGAAGCCAATTGAGTCTAATAACAGATTAAATGCCATGTTGAGGCTGTCATTTTTAGCATCTACATGGATGTTAAAAATCATCCACAATAATTATTTTATCTGAGCTCAGAACTAAATCAGATATAAAGTCTGAGAAATCAGACAGAAACTCAGTGTAAGGCTTAGGTAGACGATAGATGATAACAAGTAAGACTGTTTTTTGAGTTTTACAGCTGGGGTGGACAAGGCTGAGCATCAGTCTTTCAAATGAGTTAAAACTCTCAGTCTTGAAGATTGCTGCCACACCTCCAGATAGTCACGTTTTGGTGGGTTAAATTTGGATGGAGCAGCTCTTATTTCTACAAATCTGGCAGGGAGGATGCCATCTCTCCTAACAAGACCAGGTTTCCACCTGAAAGTTTCCCAATTGTCTGTAAATCTTGATGTCTTGATATCTTTTTGGATAGCCAGCACTGGACATTATTTTGTCAAAGTTATACACCGATTCAATATTAATTTTACTGATCTCTGACTGACATAACCGGGTGTCATTACTACCGACGTGAATTATAATTTTACTGAATGTACGTTCACTCTTAGGCAGCAGTTTTAAATTTCCCTCAATGTCACCTGTTCTGGCCCCTAGAAGACCATTACTATGGTTGCTGATGTCTCTCGCTTCACATGTTTAAGAACAGAATCGCCACTTTCAAGATTTTGATCTCTGGTGGGTGTGTTGCAGAGTGGAGAAAAAGCAGTTTGACACATGAACAGGTTGGTGGTGTACCTGGGGCTTCTGTTTAAGACTGTGCTTCCTCATCACCGTCACCCAGCCATCCTGTTTTCCCCGCTGCTTGGGGAGAGCGAACTACACTACACTACCTTCGGCTGCACCAGCTACAGGGGCTGGGCTAGCTAAAGGTATTTCAAGGGTGCAAAACAGTCTCCAATTCAGTGATCCTGGCCTGGCAAATAGGCTATATTTATTTTAAGAATAATTATTACTAAAGGAGGTCAAGGAATAACTGAACATCTGACACAATGAGTGGGAAAGTGTAGGTGGGACAGGTGAAGAGGCCCTGCTGTTAAGTCGGCTGCGAGCTAAGCTGGGGAATCCCTAAAGACACAGTGAGTTTGCTTCGGATGAAGCATGTGACGATTACACTATGAAATAAGACGTTATCTATAAGTTTTTAATTAAATCGCTACACAAAAACACCACTATGTGTTGGACCAGGAAGCGATACTCTACTGCAGGAAGTGCGAACACCAAGTGACCCAAAGGAATTGAGATATTGTGTAAAATATTGTTCATAACTTTAAGCTTTAATACAGTCTCACCAGGTAAGTTCTCTAACTCCCCTCCCACACCCCAAAAATTGTCATGAATTAGTTAGAGAAGCACCTGCTTTTTTTCTTTCTTTTTTTTAATACAAGGCTTTGAACATGTTTATTTCTGCTGTAGATTTTACATTTTTATGGAAGTCTATGGGGATTGACTTCCTTTTGGAGTTTGCTTCAAGTAGTTGTTTGAGAAACTGCAGATTTTGGCAAATCAGCAATATCAGCACTGGATACTCTTCAAGTATGGCTTTGCCATACTTCATGGATGCTCAGATGGAACACGAAAAGTTATTATTTTAAATACTGACAGTTCCTGTAGCATTCATCTTGGTTTACCGTGGATTCATAATTATGTCATATGTCACAACCATGATAAATCATAGTCACAAGCAAATTATAATTATTGTTTCACTCCCACATAGTCTTTACAAGCCCTTGCATGTAGGGCACAGGGATGTTATCCTATGGGAAATTTGTCTGAGAGCAGAGTCACCTTAGTTATTGTTAATTCATAAACTTTAATTTCAGCTCCCGCTTCATGCAGTGTTAAATTTGTGCACCAGGACTTCTGTTGTGCAACTATGAAATACTATAATTTGCTTGTGATTATGTATTATATGGCTTGCCACATATGGCATAAATATAATATCATGCTAATTGTACATCTGCTTACTTGTGTCTAGCACTCAGAGTACAGCTTACCAGGGGTTTATTCAGATGGGCATATCAGTGTTAGCAGAAAGGAATGATCAGACAGCAGGTTTTATTTAACTTCATAGTGCTAAGTCATCTAAACGTAAAGTCATCCCATATTTGTAATGAACCCCCTGGTAGCTTACCCGCATCTGGCTTGGTGTTTAGAGAGGAAGATTCCTGTTGGTCGACGGCCCTTCAGTCAGGCAGGCAGGAGGAGGAGCAGCTTCTCAGGGGACGAAGAGCAGAGTCCACCCCCTTACCCTGCCCAGGGGCCAGCTCGGCCCAGACCCCGCACCCATTTCCACCTAACCCACAAATCAGGTAATGGCACTCTTTTAAAAACAAAACCAGCACTGCACTGCAAGTATCCTGGGTTGTTTTCGTGTGTGTGTGTGTGTGTGTGTGTGTGTGTGTGTGTGTGTGTGTGTGGGTGTGTGTGTGTGTGTGTGTAGGGGGGGTGTATGAAGGACTGTCTATGAAGACAGTCCTGGTCACCAGGCTACACTGTGGGGCTGGAAGCTGCTGATTCAATCAACCTTTCTCTGTTCGTTATCAACATGAATATTTCATGTCAGTAAAGAGTAGAGTGGTGCTTTACAGTAGGGACTGGGTCATTTATTTTGATGCCTGTCAGGTGGTTTTAAAATTAACTTCCGAAGCAAAGGCTCCTTGCATTTTTGTTCAAAGTGCATGAACACAAGGGGCTCATCTTTGCTACTCTTCTCTTCTGCATTCTGTTCCTGCCTCTAGAGTCTCTCCTGCGAATGAAAGAGGAGACCGCTGAAGTGGATGAATTCACCTTCTCGCAGGGCACCTCAGACCAAGAGAGCAATGGCTCGGGCAGTTACTACATTAGACAGGAACCCTGATGTGACAAAATCGAGGAGGAGGAAACCACAAAAGGACATCTCTGGAAACACCAAACCAACAATCAGGAATGGGGAGAGTCAAACTCACCTGAGAGGATACTTGAAGAGTGATGCCACAGGCCACCTGTAATGTCAGCACATGAGGAATAACATTCCTCAACATCACTTAAAACGATTTTCTAACCTTGTAGGGGTGTGTCCACATAATCACTCAGAAAATCCTGTCTAATCATAGAAAGCACCCAGAGTCAGGCCTGGGTCATAGATGTTTGGGCATTCTCTTTCTACGACCTGCAGCTTTTTCTCCCTTTCTTTGGCTATCTGAACCAGATGAGCTATTTGGATGATTTTATGTCTTGCAAGCCCATCCAGCCTCAGCCATAATGTGGGCCACATACAGAGACCTGGAGAAACTGTGACAACAATTTATTGAGCCAGGTCTTTAGGTTTTCTTGCGTTTGTTGTATGGGAAGGGGGGGGGGGGGGGGGGGGGTTGTTGGTGGTGGGGGTTTTTTGTTTATTTGTTTTTGTTTTTGTATGAAAATGTCAGAGTCAGCCGTTTAGCAGCTGCATGAGCAAAGTAAGGCTGTCAGAAAGATGAGCAGAGTTGTGTATATTTTTGCAGTATTGCCAGGTGGACTTTAATTTTAATAATAGTACTTGAATTTTTCCTTATTTCATTTTGTTTTGATTTTCAGGTTGATTTTTTTTATGTCCTTTTTTCATGTTTTGGTGGCTGTTTGAGTAACGTGTTGTTTTATAAAGTGACTATTCACTAGTAAGTGTAGGCCTATTCAGATAGAGCTACACAAAGAGTTCTTGCCATGCTGCTCAGCATTAATGATGGTCGTTCCCTCCTTTTGTTCTTTTTCCTTATAGTATTGAACAGAAGATTTCCACAGCTACATTTATTCCTCATTTAGTTATTACAGAACCAAAATCTGTTGCTCTTTTTTTTTCCAGACTCAACAAAATGATGACCAGTTTGACAGAGTCCATTACAAAAGTAGTTTTATAATAGATTCTTTTTCAATGTCCTACTAATCTTATTATTATTATTATTATTATTATTATTATTATTATTATTATTATTATTATTATTAACCTTTCACTAACTTTGCAATGTTTTAAACTAAGAAGTCTTTTTGAGCCCATTTGAGAAGCCAAGTTCTTCATTGACCTTTTAGGGTATCTTATCACTTATTTTTTGTTAGTAGATTTTCTTTTTTTTATCCACATTTACAGGGTTTTCCCACTTTCTGGTGCAGCTTTATACAAAAACACATCTTATGCAGCTGTTGCTTTTTTTTTTTTTTTTTTTTTTTTATATTAACAAACAAAAACACTTTTTTCACATTCCACTGAGCTTGTATAGACAATATATAAAATATGGACATGGCTACCACGAACCATTGGTTTTCAATTTTTAACTGTCAACATTTAAGTTTTGACCCTTTTTGTTTTGTTTCTTGGAGCCAGAAATGAACATAATTGAACAACAGGTGGCTAAGTTACCAGCAAATGCTAGCTAGGTGGTTAGCAGCCACATACCGCCTAATTACTGCTAATAAAACACTCAGGTTTTCACTCACCAAGGGTGAAGCACAAACATCTTGAATGTTATTTTCCACCAGCAGGGCTGATAATTTGTCAGATAAATAGATGCCAAAAGGCATCAACAACACAAGTATAGTCCAGAAGTCTAGTTCAGTGACGCCAGTTAATGGAGGTGTGGCCTGTTGCCAGCCACACCACAGCTGCCTGTGGTAGTGTGTCTCACACCACAACTTGGCCATATACTGGGATATAAGCACATTTTTCTTTTAATGCTGTAAAGCTGAACATTGTATGTAGGGGTTATGACTTGCTTTTGGAGCTAAGCTTGAGTTTTTGGTCCTGCAGTACCTCTGTGAATGAGCAGTTGTTGAAGCAGTTATCACTGGGGTAGCTTCAGATTCTGTGTGCTGTACTGATAAAAAAAAGGATTACTGAAGCTGTGGAAATGAAAATGGCTTTTTTTGTTTGTTTGGTTTTTTTTTTTTAAAAAGAAAAAAAAAAGCTCCACATTTTGATGATATGAGAATATTTCAGAAGAAACAGGAAGTGTAAGTAAGCAGCAGGTCGCAAAGTTTAAATGAAAAATCGCACTGTTATGATAGGATATGATGACATGTCCCCACTGCCCGGCCATACAATATGCTTTGAGCTTTACTCTCTGATTGTAGCTGCTGTAAAAGATGAACTTCAGTCTTATCAGAGACTTGTCTTATCACTTGGTCCCTGGACATAATCATAATAATCTTGGTATTCTGTTAAAGGTTTATCAATATACATGTCATGTCCTTTTTCTTTTGATTTCAGTTGTAATTTTACCCAAATCTGCATCTGCAGTGTGCCACAATTATATTCAATCTATTATTTAATTTTTAAAAAATAATATGCAATACAGAAAATCTTGAAAGGGAAAAAAAAATTTCCTTATTCTGAAGAAATGTAACATATGACATAATGAAATGGGAATTATAGAATTCATTGAGTAGTAGTAGTAGTAGTAGTAGTAGTAAATACATATGAATCACTTAAAAATATTAAATGCATACAAAAGTTTATTAGAAAATTACATTTTAAACGCCCCACCAACCCTAATCTGCTGGATAGAAAGTTAAGGAGGTAGATGGCAGAAATGTAAATTCACTTCATGGCTGTTGTTGGTTTATTCTTTAGTTAATGGAATATGATTAAATACTGTATGTGGCATACTTGAGACTACATACTCCATTTAGTTTCTGTCACTCAATATAGGTGGCTGGACTCCCATGTTAAGACAAAGTGGGAGAATCTACCTTGGTTACAGCAAACTTATAACCAAACAGGTCTTCAAGTAATATGCAAAATGTTTGTAGGGTTTGTGTGTGTGGGTGTGCGTACGAGTGATAAAGCCATGTATGCAAGCTAGTTTATGATTCATCTGAGCCACAGAATGACAGGTTGTTCTTGATAATTAAACAATGCACTGCTTTTCCTATCGTCTCTGAAGGCAGCATTCACATAGCATAGTGGCATAAAAACATATATTGTATGTAAATACATATATTTATACTCCACCACTGTGATGGAATCAAACAAAGAAATCATCTTTAGCCAGAAAATGGAAAAGACAACAGACCACCTTTGATTATTCTTAGAGCTCGATTTTTGCAACCGTTTATCTACTACCTCCTGATGCTAGCTATGTTTAGCTAAAGCGAGAGCATGAAATAGACTATTGCAGTGTGTTGGCTTATGCAAATGGAAAAAAATCAACAACCTGAAAATAATCCACTTGAAGGCTAGACTTCAAACGTGGAATAATATTATTGCAACACATGAGGAAGTCTTCTATTTTGAATGTAATGCAATATTAATAGATCCAATCTTATTTTGCTATACTAAGTAAAATTTATAGCGCCTGCAAATTTCACGATCACTACACTGTTATCATTAGCATGTAAGAAAAATTAACAATAGGGTGTTGTATAACTGTGACTTTTATGGTCAAAGGGTTTAAAAAGAATGCTCACTTTATGGCCAAAGGATGCTTTTAAATGCAGAGAATCTGTAAACTTCTCAGTAAAGGTAAACTAACAAGTTTCAGATTCAAAGATTCAATTGAATGGTTCAATTCTCAGGAAGTTTTGATCCTTTGTAAAGGTTGTGTGAATCAGCAGGGTTTGAAAACCCCAAAGGCATTTTGATCTTGTAGATTTATTGTATGGAAGCAAACAAGGTTTTAAAACGACAGATTTTGAAGCAGGTCGTGATATTTGAACGCTGAAGCCTCCCCAGAATTGTGATTCTGATTTGTGATGGCATATTTAGTACATTTTTTAATTTATTTCAGAATTTTCAAGAAACAGAACTGTCAAAACTTACTTCCCAGAAATTAAAAATTCATGTAAAACATAAAAATGGAGGGGCATAAATTTATGTTAACTGACATAACAGAAATTTGCATCTCCAGCATCATAAAAGTATGTAAATGTTTTTTTTGTTTGACCCCCCCCCGTCAGTCATAGATCCCATTGTTGCTTAATTACAGAATGTCTTTTGAGAGCAATAGTCAAACCTTTTGGACTTAAATATACACATATAAAAATAACACACACACAATAAATATATATATATGAATGAGGAAGACTGTTGCTAAAAGATCATCATCACTATCCTTTAAAATGATAGTTAAATATCAACATTTGGTATTAAGCTGTGTTTAAAAACAAAATTCATTTAAGAATTAAGTTATGATTCCTTAATTAGAACTCTTTTGCTTCCGAACACTCAAGATGAACCATTCTGCATTCATGTTTAAGTTCATCTCCTGAGATTTGAAAACAATTGTTTTAAAAGGAAAACAATTGTTTTCCTTTTAAGAGAAACTTGTACAAGAAATGCAAAGGTTTTTGATTGTGAAACAATAAATGATTGTCTTACAATAAGTGCAAGACTCATTGACATGAGCCCTTTGAGAAGGTGCTCATGTTCCTGTAATGTATGAAGGCAAAAGGAAACATTAAAATACCTGATCAGCAAAACGTATTTGTACAAAAACAAAATGACTGTTCTGTTTCTGGCCTCCTTTAGATTAAACCCCAAGTAATCAAATGTTATTTCAGATCTCCAGTTCCTAATATTTTCTTGTAGAAAATGTACTTTTTGATTTACCTTCTTTCCTAATGCTCCATCCACAGTTGCTTATATATTTAAAGATTTTGAATCTCAGTAGCTTGAGATGAAAGCAGGTTGATGATTTTGATTTTGGTGGCACGTAACAGTAATAATAAAAATGTTACTCTACCAAAACAGTAATAGTGAGAACAATATGTCATAATATCAGGAATAACATTACCTGATAACAATTTATATTATTTCATTTTCCAAGTAAGACAAACATGACAAATTTCATTTTGAATTAAATTTCTATGTGGTAAAATAAGTTGGGTATGCCAAGTCAGAATTTTCCTAATTTTGGTGTTAAGCCAAAATTGAAACAAAATAAAATCAGACTTGCAGCTTTATTGCGTTTGCTGAATATTTGTGTAATCCAGTTTTGTTTTTGCCTTTTCCTGGCACTGATAGCCTTCCATAGAAACCGTTTGGTTATGGAGGTCTTGCAGCTTATCTGGTTCTTCTAGATGAGAATAATTAGGTAAATGCTGAAGTTGTTTTGTTTTGATCCTCTTTCTTGGCTTCTAACACGGGTCTTTTGTATGTGATCACTTCCCCTCCTGATTATATTGTGGTGCTATGTGTGTGTGTATATATATATATAGATATATATGGGGAGAGAGATTGTCTGGTAAATTGAGTTATAGTGAAAAATTTATTTTCGATACAAATTGAGGTGGGGGAGGGAGTATCTGTCAGTTATAAATCTATTGATATTAACAATAACCCTAGAGGTACATTTTCAAAATTGCAGTTTCAAGTTTGTACATCTTTTTG